CGAGTCGGAGTCTCACTGCCACCCAGGCCGGAGTGCAGTGGCACGCTCACGGCCACCGCAGCCTTGGCCTGCGGGGCTCAGGCGATCCTTCCACCTCAGCTTTCCAAGTAGCTGGAACTACAGGTGTGTGCTACCACGCCCAGCTAGTCTCAGACCTGTGGGCTGAGGCAATCCCCTCACCTTGGCCTCCCAAAGTGCTGGGATTATAGGCATGAGCCACCGTGCCCGGCCTAGTGATCTCTAATTTTTTTTTTTTTGAGTTGGGATCTCACTCTGGCACCCACACTGGAATGCAATAGCACGATGACAGCTCACCACAGCCTTCAACTCCTGGGCTGAAGGGATCCACCATCCTCAATCTCCCAAGTAGCTGGGACTACAGGTGTATGCTACCACACCTGGCTAGTTTACTTTTTGTAGAGATAAGGTCTAGCTATGTTGCCCAGGCTGGTCTCAAACTCCTGGCTCAAGATTCCTGCTTTGGCCTTCCAAAGTAAGGTACAGGCATAAGCCACTGCATCCTGCCAATTATCTTTCCATCTGAAAATGTGATTTGCTTAAAAAGTCTTTGGTGGTTTCCACCTGAAGTCCAAATTCCTTGCCAACTGACTGTAAAGACCCAACAAGGGCCAAGTGTGGTGGCTCATTCCTGTAGTCCCAAGCAGGCTGAGAGGCAGAGGTGAGAGGATTGCCTGAGTCCAGGGATTTGAGACCAGCCTGGGAAACTTAGCAAGATCTCATCTCTACAGTACATCACAACACTACCCGTGTGTGGTGACACACACACACCTGTAGTTCCAGCTACTTGGAGGACTGAGATGGAAGGATCATTTGAGCCCAGCGTGCTGAGGCTGCAGTGGCCTCGAGTATGCCACTGCACTCCAGCCTGGGAAACAGAATGAGACTCCAACTCAAAACAAAGAGCCAGCTGGGCGTAGTGGCTCAAGCCTGTAATCCCAGCACTTTGGGAGGCCAAGGCGAGAAGATTGTCTAAGTTCAGGAGTTCAAGACCCACCTGGGCAACTTGGTGAGACCTCATTTCTACAATAAGTCGAAAATTAAGCTGGGTGTTGTAGTACGCCTGTAATTCCAGCTACTGGGAAGGCTGAGGCTGAAGGATTGCCTGAGCCCAGCAGGTCGAAGCTGCGGTGGCCCTGAGCATGCCACTACACTCCAGTCTGGGTGACAGAGGGAGACTCTGACTCAAAGGGCCAGCAAGAGCAGGTCCTGCTCAACTTTCTTTCTTTCTTTCTTTTTTTTTTTTTTTGAG